CTGTGGTGCTGAGTTGTGGCATGCAGCGTGACCAAAAATCATGGCTTTTTATACATTTATATTATATACATAATGCTTTAGATTTAGTTGTGTTTGGAAAATGTTACGAACTTTTATTATCTTTTATTGCTGTTTCACATGCAGCTCTGCAACAGGCTCCTCTGCTACAACTGGTATCTTCTGAGGCAAGGGCCCCAACATCAATTTGTAGACTAGGAGCGAATTAAACATTGATCTACTGTGAGTAATGCGCTGCTCCTCGTCCAATGTAATATGATTCAATATGATCCTCTGAATGATGCGCTACTTGGCGCACTTCCCGTCAGAATTAATTACTTTGGGATACTTTGGGATGGATGGGAATGACATCTAACATCATCTAACATTCCATTTCTGAAACGGAGTTTATTGTGGGTTCAAAGACCCTTTGCAGATTTGGTACCAGGTTTCGCCTGAGCTCCGTCGAAGTTGTGTTTGGTGCTCGGACCAGGGAAGGATACGACAATGATATGATGATAACTCGATAACTCTACCATTTAGGTGGTTGACTGTCAGTGTACTTCTTTGGAAACGCATTTTGAAGGACTTCCTGAGACTTGTTGCTATTGTTTCAGGCAAATTAAACTGAAAGTCTATGAAGGATAGATATTATCCTGCAGACTGGCTGCATTTGGCCCAAAGGAGCAGATGATCGGATTGGGCCAATGTGACTCTTGTTGCGGCGAATTAATCCATGCCGCAAGAGTACACTAGAAAGCTTTCCATTTGTGCAAGTGAGCACGTGACCGCACACATCAGAACATAAAGGCACCGGCTCAACCTGCTAGCTTTGGGACAACTTTCTCTATCGCCCAAGATTTGAAAAGGGATGCAAAGGGTGCACCTGATCAACTAGCTACAAGATGCTAAAAGACAAGGGTAGAATTGATCATTGCGGCAGCTGTCAAGCTTCGAGCTTGCCATTTCTAGCAACGCATAGAATCTTTTATGGTATATAATTATACATGTGGTCAGTGTGTTCTTACGATTTCTTGGTGTTCTTACGATTTCCTGCGTACCACTACTGCATAATGCTGTAATAACTATACTCCTTCTATCTATATATGATTATATATGTATATATTCTGCATCTATATGTTACTGTATATATTATATAATATATAATAATATATATATATATACATATATTATTGTCATTGTACATATTGTATATATTGTATATATTGTTTGTGCTTTAAATGTGCTTTGTGGCCCTTCCTTCCGTGAAAGTGAAACCATGAGTGTCCCAGGTTCGGGCCCACGTCTCCAGCAGTAATCTCAGCCTGGTTCCATCTTTGCACACACAAATGACACACAAAGTCTCTTTCAGTATCTCAGTCTCCAAGTTTGACAAATTGCCGCCGTACAAGGTTGATGAAGGTTGATGAAGGTTGAGCGTTTCCAAAGATTCCAAGATGGTTGAAGCATGTTGAAGCTCGATAGAAAACCCTTCGCCTCCGCAGCTTCAAAGTACAAGATACGACCAGAATATGACAGGGCCGATGATTGAACACATTTCTAGCTCGGCCATAGCTCGGCCCGCTCAGACGCTGACTCACACTCGAAGGAAAAAATAAGAGATACATGCGACTCTGTACACTGTAGTTGCATGTAGTTGTGATGCGCAGGAATTGCCATGGGCAAGTATGGAAACTCTTTGGAATGCTTCCACAATCAGTGCAATCAAGATGGAATCTTAAGAGTGTCATTCCGTTTTTATGTAATCTTATGTCGAATTCTTTGCTACTGGACGGATGGTCATCCTGAATACTATGTAGTACGGAATATAGTTTGGATGCGAAAGTTAGTTAATGGCTTTGGCATGCTTTGGCTTTCAAGAGCCTGGTGACCAGTGCCATGAATTTGCGACGCGGCATTCTTGTGCCAAGCTTGGCAGTTGCCTTTTTGAAACTTGATTGCATTTGCCAAGCCTGGAAAAATTCGGGAATGATCCAGAATGCCACTCTGAGAACAATGTGGTATACTATTAAATTGGTATACTATGTACAACTCAGGGGTTTTGAGAATGACAACTTCTACAGTAATTTCCCATGTCATTAACAAAAATCTCAAAGGTGTCTGAGCCTTATTCAAAGATGCAGTCTCAATACTCTCAATACTCTGAATATATCCCTCCCTAAATCCTCATTTTCTCTGATTTCCCCTCTTCCTGTATTACAGTAAGGCACGTCGCACACTGGACCTTCAGCAGCATTTCTTTACGCAGGAGTCAAAAACGACTGAATGCGGCTTGGTTGCTTTGCGATTGTTTCTCTGAGCTTTGAGAATGGTCCAGCCCCAGAAATGGCCCAAGACATTCCGAGACGGTGTGCTTTCTTATCTCTACCTTCAAAAGATCCTTTGAATGAACCACTGAATCACGGCAAATTGAAGGATTTGTTTGTCATGCCGGTGTGTTTGTGTGTATGTGGGAACCTTCATCGCAGCTGATAGTCAGAGCCTCGCTGTGCAATTTAACTTCGACATACAGTAGTTTCTTTGTTATCATCATTGCAATTTAGAACGTTGTAGCATGCTTTTCTTGCATAGTCATTTGAAAGTGTTTGCCTCAGGTCAGACCATGGATTGGTAGAGAGAACACGCCAAGTCCTAATAAAGACAACAAAGCGATTACCAGAGAGATCCGCGATTTGGGCCGGAAGGGGCAGCTCGGCTTGCACCCAAAGTTGAAGCCATGGAGAGTGTCACCAGTAGTGATGACATGTGATGACTATCCCGAGACTCCCCTACAAAGATCATGGTGATTCAACCAACTGTGCTGATGTTCGAGCTACAGAATAATGACGAACATTCATCGCTACATTGTATGATTAACAAACATTAACAAGTTCAATCTAGTTCAATCATTGTTGCTCGTGTTCATGCAGTGGACGTACAGTAATTGTGGGATGTACAGTATCAGTGTAGGTCTATACGGTTTTTCTTTCGCTCTATAGTGATATAACAATATGTTATATAGATGTTTGAATAGAATAAATAAAATGCCGTTGGGATATGTCGGGATTTGTTTTGCGTGTTTTGTGTGAGGAGTGAAGCAAGTGCTTTCGGATAGAGCCGTATGTTGGCTGAGGCGCTTCCTCCAGGCAAAGGACGCGTTCCTGGAAGCCGAGGTGAAAGATGCCATTTTGCTCCTCAGCTGTGAGACATAGATTTGACATAAAAGTATGATACAGGTACTGTATGTGTGGGGAAGCCATTGTATCAGCATTGGTATAGCATTGGTAAAGCGAGTCTAGAGTGTAGGACACTCACATTTCGAACTCTGTTTTTTGTTCATGATTCCTTGGCGGTGCCGCCTTTTAATCCTGTTGTTCATGGATTTGAGATCAGTTGAGACACTATGGAAAAGTTTTCCGTTTTCAGGTGCTTTCAGGGTATTGGATTATTGGGTCGTGCTATGTTGTGCTTGGTTTTTAATGAAACTTTACCTGGTTCTCCTGGTTCTCCGGTTGCCAAGCAGTCTGCTGAAGGATCCCCATCGGGCCAAGATGGGCCAAGTATATACATCCGAACAAAACATGTTCATTGATTTCATTGCGCTTGAGTTGATGAGTCGCGTGAAATTACTTTGACATTTTTTGACCCCATAGTGTTGCTTTGTTGGCATGGGAAAAATAAGGTCTTGCTTGGTTTTTCAACATCTCTCCTTTGAATCCTTTGGCACTACGCAAGATTCAAGCAAGTACCATATAAAGCGCAACAGGGATTCGTCACACCACCAGCCAACTCGCAATGCAACGCGCTCACCAACAGCCTGCAGAGATGCACTGTGGCAAAGCAATATAAAGCAATACTGTCATCAGACTGGCATAGCTTTCCAACATTTTACAGCACTGCGCAAGCCTGTCATGATGTCCACACACCGCGCAAAAAAATCGAAACAAATGCAGTGGAGAGCAACACTTGCGAGGAAACCTCTTGGCGACATTGACATTGACATTTTGATACTTACGAACATTATAAAACTGGATCAAGCTTGTCGGCCACAGAAGTGCCCAAAATGTTTTCGAGGCTTTTCTGTGGCAGTTTTTGTATTGGAATTGTTTCAAATCACCACTGCAAAAAGCCTATCGCAGAAAAGTACTGCATCTATATAACCGTTGCATTTGAGTGAGTCTTTACCTTGGATGTTTGGCTACAAGGCTGTGAGACTTGCTGCAAGATGGTGAGTGGAAACTTATTGAACTTGCTAGGTATAGCGCAATCATCAGAATCTTGGCAGGACAGGGGCGGGGATTGAGATGGAGAACGCACCAAACAAAAGCAGCATTGCTGGAAGTCTTGAGGGTCAGATCACTAGATCCACATTGATAGTGTGGCAAGTCGCTATGCAGTGATTACATTATAACTATTTATAACTTATAAATTAATATAATTTAATTATAGATTTATAATATACTGTACATATACAAGATGGTTTTTGGAATCATCTTGAGCGAGTAACCTCTGTGCAAGTGCATAGCAAAATAGGTCGTGTTTTGTTTGAAGGCCTGTCAAGGCCTGCTTTTTGTCGGAACAAAGCCAGGACTCCTCACCTTCGATGTTTGAATTTAGAAATGCTTGACATAGCGATGGACATAGCAAGCGTTTTTAGGATGCAGATCTTGCCTTACAATGCGACTTAAGGCGCTGCTGCAACCAATGGTCAGTTTGATGAGGGTACTCAGCTCTTTGAGGACGCTCAGCTTTTGCTGTTAAATGTTTCTCTGGACAGTGCAACGATGCCTGCACTTTGAGAATAAGCATTCATGGTGACACCGACACGTCATAATGTCATAGTGCGTTCAGACAGAGCAAGAGGCACGATTGAATTCTCGAGAGACCTGACCGAAGCCAGCAACTCCAACAAGACTGATACCATTCTTTCCTGACATTTTATTGAGTGATCAACAATCGTAGTGGTCATTTGGTAGTATCCTGCAGTATTCTGTAGTGACAGCATGAAAGTCTTGATGAAAGGAATCATGCCGTTTCAAAGTCTTTGTCTGTATGCTGCGGCTCTCAACAAGCACTACTTCTTGCATGGTTTGTCAGTTGCATCTCAATACATCTACTTGTTTTGTGGGTTTGCTCCCTCGCGACATCAAAGACACGTAATGTAGCATTTTCTTTTGGAGGAGATGAAAGACTCCAAGGTTGAGTTGTCAGACACGGTCTACAGTGCCATGCTGAAACTGCTTGGACAAAAGGGTGACTACGACGCAGCAGTAAGGACAGGAACCACTTCTTCTTGAGCATCTTGTCGGTTGTCTTTTTCTTGGAGCAAGAGGAGTGCTGCAAGTGCTGGTTCTTCTGATATCTACGTCTAGATGACTGTACAATGTTTACCCTGTTGGCATTATGTTTTGCTGAGACTGGATTTTGCAACGGTCAAGCTGGGCAGAAGCAATGAATGTCCATGGATGTCCTAGAATATCGCAGGATTTGGAAAGAAATGCATGAATTGGGCCTCACAAAAGAGGGAAGTACGCGACAGCAAAGCTGTTTCACCGGATTGATGAATGCAGCTGCAGCAACAGGCTGGACAAACAAATCATTTGTGATTGTTGTGTTATGTTGTGTTTCTCTCGATCATGCAGTCGAAGGTGATGCAGGCATTCAAAATTGTATGAATACATGTGAATACACAATCCTATTACAATCCTTTCATATCCTTGACACTGTCAAGGTGTGCACATGCATTAGCTCTCCGCCAAAGAGATATACGACTCATACGCCTCATACGCCGTGACGCTTTCTGAACAGGTGACGTGCAAACAGCGCAGAAGGAGATTGACTCAGCGCCGTATGGCGTCCAGCTGAATGCCGCTCATTTCGGCTGCTTACTGAAGGTCGGAAAAGAGAGAGGTCATTAGATGCTATGGCTATGGTATGGACATGCCTTGACATGCCTTGACAAAGTAGCACTTTGCTGAATGCGCAAGGACGAGGGTGACAGACAGTTGCAGACAAGCACCCGTGTGATCAGGCCTGCCGTGAGAGTGCAGATGCAGAAGCAGCTCAGAAAGTCATTTTGCAGATGAGGGATGCAGGTGTTGAGCAACTTGGTGCACTTTCGAAATGAGTTGTGCTTTGGTAACCTTGTTACATCCTAAATCAGCAAATATTCATGAATATTCGAATGTGAAGGAAAGTTGTCCGGAGACAAAATATTCCACTCATCGCCGTCAGGTCCACTTGTTTTTCTTTTCTTTTGTGTATCCTTTGGTATACTGAGTGTACTGTAATGTACTGTACTTCTGTTTTGAGCTCCTTTGCATTTACCGTTTGTTGCTCTTTTTTCCTGCAGTTGTTCCTTGAGCTATCAAGGCACCTGTCAAGTGCTTCATAGTTGAACGAATGGACAAATGGAGATGTGACCAACTTCAGAACTTAGGAGAAACATTGTGCATTACACCATCTACATGGGCGCTTGCGCCAGGCTTCTGGCACAGCTGAAAATAAGCACGTGGCAGTACGTTGATCCTCACTCCATACATAGACATTGAACATCATTGAACATACTGAACGTGATATGAACGCGATAGTCAGTGATAGTCAGTGATAGTCGAGCTTTCAGTTGCCATTGGGTCGCGATTTGCCCTGGTTTGCCATGTGTGGTTGCCAGGTATGTTGCAAAGACTCAGTCAAAAGCCGAAGAGCTTGAAGCACAGGTACGGAAACAGATGGAGGAAGACCAGGCTGTGAATTGTTTCGTTGGTCGCGTTATTTGTTGATTCATTTGCTGGGTGCTGCTAGTTCTTCAGGACACTTGAAGGATCTTGAAGGCATTGAGGAAAAACAAGGGCTGGGGGATCCATTTGACTCTCGCTTGAAAAACCACTGCCATCCTACGTGGTATTATAATGTATTATACAGGGTACCTGTAGTGGGTCATGATATGTCATGATTGTGTCTCGCAAAGCCTTGGAAGATATCGGAAGGTTCAGGCCAACGAGTACTTTCTGGAAGAGCAGGTAGCCTTAAATCTGCAAACAGCAAGCTTGAGGCCGTCCCTGAGCATCAGTGCAAGCAAATTTGCAAAGATTTTGCAAGCACCTGTGAGATCCTATGAGCACCTTTCTGTTTGAATTGGTTTGAGTGAAGGAGGTTGAGATCTATCACCTTGGCTTTCAAAGTTCGTGCAGCCCAAGTTACGAAAGCTAGCTTCTGCTAGCTGAAGTCAATTCTGCTTTAGCAAGGTATTGGGGGGCTGGAATCTCCAATCGCGTGAAACTTCAAAGTTAACTACCCCCCCTTCCCCCAGGGACATCGTCGGCATGTCGCCACCAGCAGCAAATTCGGCAGCATCCGCATCCTCAGCATCATTGTGTTTTTCATGCCAAGCTCCCTGCCAAGCTAGCTTTCGTCCCTTACCCCTGGGCCTCAAGTTCAGTCACTTCTAAGTTTTTTTTATGCGGTTTCAGTATGTTTGATTGGTGCCAGTCAGTTGCCTCTTTTAGATTCCTGGAAAGTGTCAGCAGGGCTCTGCAAGAAGAGGGTGCCAGCAAGTGGCGGGCTGAGACTTGGAACATGGTCTCAGTCTCATGCGGTCTCTTTAGGTTCTGACATGTTCTGACCGAATTCCAGTTTGTTTGCTTTATGCTTAGGGCTTGCAGTGCTTGCCAAAACACAAAACATGCATTAAAATTCACAAAAAGTGTTTGCCATGCTTGGATCCAAATGGTGCAGCAGGTTGTAATCCAAGCCACAGTTTATTTGGCTATGCTTGGCGTGTCCCGGCTTTACTTCTCACGGCTCAGCAATTTGTTTCTGAGGCCCAGTGAGGAGGCTCTAACACGGACAGGGAAGCTGTTAGAATCAGCCTTGGATGTGCCCGGGATGCGGTTGACGCGAGCCCTGCGGGACCTGAGGCGCCTTTGTGAAGCAGAGCGGGACTTCCCTTGGACGCTGGAAATTCATGGAACAAGGATGTAATCTCTCTCTCTCTGTGGCGCAAGCCATGAAAAGGCTGAAAAGGTACAGAGGGAAGAAAGCAAGCGGCAGGTACAGGTAGCTTTTCCAGTCAATCAGAAGGAAGAATTTCATCAACTTGCTTGTTTCTGTGTGTGAGAGAGCGAGAGAGAGAAAGTGCGTGTCTTTTGATTGTGCTTATGTGTGTGAAGTTGGCAGATTGTCTCATGACAGATTCCCTTGCTGAGAACGATGGAACTGACACGACCTAATATATTTCTTTGAAATTTGGCCAGGGACAAGTACCCCAAGCTGCGCGCTGCAGTGGAGAACAGATGAGTTTGAGGCCTGGCAGCACCTCGACGTTCGCTTGGGTGTGGACATTTGATTGAGTGTTTGTATGACTTTCTGTTTGTTCTTTTTACTATACTTACCATAGTTCTTACTTAACATGGGTCTGGAAACTGCTGTTGCACAAGACTCAGGTTTTGGGCACCTGCCAATTTCGAACAATCCATTTAAATACAACACATCTTGTAAAAACATTGGAAAATACAAGTTGCACGGTGTTGTAAATCATTTTTCATGTTTTTTGCACATTTCGTACACTTAGTATGACCCGCGACGATACGTTCGATGTTCTAAGTGCGCTCGTTTCTTACCTTGCGTCGTCGTTTCTTCTTTAATTAATATAATATATATGTTTAATTATGAGTTTGGCTGCTTGCTTGGCTTGTGTCATGTTGCCTACTTTGTTTGCGAGTTCAGCAATGATCGAGGTGGGGTGGCGTTTTTTTTCCAAGAACCTGTGCACAAAGAAAATGAAAGAACTATGGGATTCATTGTGCAATCTACAAAGGTTGCTTTTGTTGCAGATCTGCAAAAATTGTCATCGTGTCAGAGGAGGGCCTGTTGAGTATCTACAGATAAAGATTCTATAAGATTCTAAAGGAGCAGTACATAAACAGTCCATTAGAATCCATTACATATATAGATCTTTTCTGAAGCTGCAGGACATGGATCTTTCCGCGGCGCTTGTGGATCCAAGCCCAAAGAACAGGATTGGATCATGAGCGAATTTGGATTTGGAATGCTCTGACTGAACCCAACGGGCGAAACAAAAGAGACACCATGCTGCCATGCTCCTGGGGTCAAATCGCCACGATTTCGATCGTACAAACATTTGTTGGAGCATTCCGTACAGACTTACAGCATCTTACAGCGAAAACAGCAAAACAGTATGTGTGACTCAGAAGATGTGTTTTGTGGATGACTTAGGGGATTGACAGCAGAATTCATGTTGTCTAATTTCATCCATTTCATTTTCTGCACTCCACTCCCAGTCTCAGGTGTAACATCCATCATGACCAGCGTGCAGGGTGAGGATTGGATCTTGGCTGTGATGATGGTGGACATACTTTCGCAATTTTTAGCAGCAGGAAGGCATGAGATTGAAATTAGCATAAATTAGCAATGGGAAGACTAAGTGACTAAGTGGACCATCCAAAAAGGTTTAATTGTCCAGATGCACATCCATGCAGTAGCCATCAGTAACTCAGCGGACATCGGGAGACTGTTACTCACGCAGTGCCTTGCAACGATTTGGTCGCCTAGGCCGCGCAGCAGGCTGTGGAAAGCACGTTGCCTGGGTGGTTGGACGCCTATGCAAAGCTCTGTGAAGGACATATCGACATGCTATGACAAATAGGACATATGACATGGAGGTGACATCATGAAATTGATTTAAACAAACTTAAATCAATATAATTCATGCAGCATGGATGTTAATGATATGAAAATTGAAATGTACGTGTGTTTGTTTGGGCATGTGTTGGAGATGGCTGCAGAAAGTGGTTAAAGAATTAAAGAATGTTAAAAAGCTATTGACAACGTCAGGGGATTGTTCCCAGATCCTATCGCGTGCCACGAACATATTTTGACCGTGAGATTTCATAAGAATTGAACACAGCAGTGTTGTGAAAAAGAGCCTGGTGGATTACCTTGTACCAGAGCCTCACTTGAAATTCACACTAAGAGTGTTCTAATTACAAACAAATATACGATAAAATTAGATAATATAAGTCCACAAGTATCATGTACAGTGTAATGACAGTGAAATGAAGGTCCATTGAGCCAAATTCTATGACATCAAGCCATTGTGCAATGATTTGTAGCCCGTGGGTTTTGAATGGCTGTGCAATGTTGTGCATTTATTCTCCGAGTTCTGCACTTGGAGTAGATGGATTGTAGATGCATGCACATGTAATTACTCTAAAAGGAGAAGGAGTCACAATGACTAAGTAATCAGTGGACACACTGTGCCACATGTATCGAGAGTCCTGTCAGATCCTGCCATATGTTTCGGTCGCTCCCATTGTTTTTGGAATGAGATCGCCATTTCTGTTGCTATTTGTTGCTAATTAGTCTCTCTGCGAGCACCCCTCGCATCCACGTGCCCTGGTCATCTGGAAAACTTGGGACAATCGATGCACAAAATCATGTGTGCTCGACATATCTCGACGTCGCCCACTTGGCTTGGAGCTTGTGCGGCTACACCTTTCCTGTGCCGGAGCTGGCGTGCCCAGCACGGCCAGAAGGCACGGCTAAAAAAATCTAAGTAATATTAAAAAATGCTAAGAAGCCAAGAGTTATGTTTGTTTGATTATGTTTGTTCGATTTTCTTTGCTTGCTATATGTTTGGCATTGATTGAAAGATGTGAGGGTATGAAGCCACAAGTCAAGCGGTCAAGCACGTGTTGTTTTGATGTTTTGGCAAATGCACCATTTGCAAGGGCGATCAAGAGACCATTGCCAAAATACGGATTGGACATATTTATGTAATACTGTGTATATATATTCTATATTATATATATTCTATATGATATATATTATATATTATATATATTATATATTATATATTATATATATTATATATTATATATATTATATATTATATATATTATATATTATATATATATTATATATATATATATTGGTCAGAAATTGTTAGTTAGTATTTTGGGGCTGAGAGTTGAACTTCCATCTTCACTGAAAGCCACTGGAAGGACTCAATGTTTGCTTGTAACGCAGTCAAGTGCACTCGTGATTGTTCGCTCAAACTTCGCCGGCAATTCAGATTGAAGTTTGCATTGCAAGACTTTCGGAAAACCTCTGTCAGGTATGATGGAGGATATGCCGAAGGTGCCTATCTTTGGCCTACATGTTGTATACAGTATACAGCATACAAATGAAAGTTGATTTTGTTTTTCGGAGTGCTTAGGCCCGTTTGCTTTGGTGCAGCAAAATGAACACTGCCAACTCAAATCCTGCCCGTTGACCCACATGTCATCAAGTGTCATCAAGATTTGGGGTTTGCTATGGTTTGCTCGTAGGTCCGAATAATTCCGAATATATTTGAATATAATTATATGTATGTATATATTTGGATTATTTTGGATTCCTGGATTTCACAACAGTCAAACCAGCTGCTGTCGGGATGCTTGTTTCATCTTGTTCCGAAGTAAAAGGGTGGGCACATAGTGAGCTCCGGGCAAGTTTTCACTCCATCGAGGTGGTGATGTGCGGCTCTCCACGGTGCGGGAAAACGCAGAAGTCTTAGTCGCAAGTTGGGATGAAGCACTTCAGAGCAGAAAGAGGCTCAATAGTGTTCATCGAAATTTGTGAAAACTCACCGATTTTTTTGTGTCTACAGGCTTTGCAATCATTTTGAGGTGAGAGCAGTCTTCCGGACAGCACAACGAATGAATTGAGTGCTGTTGCTCCACTACAACTAATGAAAGAAGGTTGTCCATCCAAGTACAGCAATCTCCTAGATCATCTCAAAATATTTTGAATGTCAAGTATACAGACATATTTCAAGTATTAGTTATTGAATTGAAACGATTATTAATATCATCATTATAATATTGACTATGATATAGATTGGACTCGTATAGTATAGACACAGACCATATATTCAATACGCATGGCATGTCTTGAGGCAGGACATGCGTCACGTTTGCTGCTGTATGTTCTGTCAGGTCCATCAGCAAAGTGGTGCCGGGCACCTAGAAACGCATGGCTTCTCCCTAATGTCAATGCAAGCCGTTGTGTGAAAGACATGTCTACCATCGCTACATATCGCTACTAACGCTACTATGTTGTCCGGTTATGCTAAGGGTCCATGCTGACATTTTCTGGGTCGGAATCCAGGTTTCAGAAGCTCTCCCCGCATGAGTCAATGTTTCTTGAAAACGGACTCACAAGGCATGGCTCCCAGCTGCTGAGATAGTGTGAGCTCAAGAGTTTCCGCAGTCGCAAAACAATTGTCATGTTTCTTCATTGTTCTTCACAGTTGGCAAGCTTGAGCATTCTGATTTTGTTTGATGACGGCTTTCGTCGTGCCCTTCTTCAGAATATTCCAGAATACAACTAACAGATACAAGCGGTATGTCTTGGCATGACCCGGTGTTGAGTTTTTGTTAGTCGATTGCAGAGCAACTTTCTGAGGATGGAGACTTTCTCAGTTTGCCACAACCACCTCCTCCGGCTGAGGGTTCCGTGGGCATGACAGTGACTGTGTCAGTTGATGTGTCGGAGTTTTTTTAAATCTGTGCCAGTCTGTGTTTCTCTTGCTTTGTTTAGTGTCCTAAGCTCCGTGGCTTCCATGAATCGCCTTCGAATGAAGTATCCAAGCAAATAGCGTAGTTTGTAAGATGCTGTAAGTATACAAAGTGTAGACATGTGTAGACATGTGTAGACAAAATATAGCTTATAAATAGCCTATAGATGCCTATATCCCTTTATATTTGACCTCCAGCAGTCCACATTGGCCAATGTGGCTATTCTCCGGGCACTGATGTCCCTCCACTGATTCCATGAAAGCTCTTGCGCCAGCTGGTGGATTTTCCTGGGGCTATCCTTTGCGATGAGAATGTCAGCTTACACCAGAACGATGCCGCAATCTTTGGTGGCGTCTCAACTGCAAGTTATGCGGCAACCAGCGACGCTGGAGGCGTTTCTTTCTGGCGGTTTGGTCGTATCCACGGCACATCTAAGGGGGCTTGTGTCGCAGAATGACAGATGCAGACGCTTTCAAAGATTGAATGATGCTGTGTCGTTGGCAATCGCAGTTTCTTGCTCCACCAGTGAAGCGAGCCCCGCAGTCAGAACATACAAGAATGAAGGACAATGACAGAGAATGAAGGAGTGAGTGCATTCAAGACAAATGCATGGCGCATCATGGCGCTCTTGAGGCGGAGACTGCGTTGTTGTGCTTGTCATTGATGCCCTGATCTCAGTGAAGTTTTCTGTTTGATGCGTCCATGTTTTCCCATTCGCATTCAGCGATGTTCCATCGATGTTCCTTCTGTTTAGCTTGCAACAGGCAAGCCGTATGAGAAATCTCAACATACAAAGCACAAAGATCATCAAAGATCATCAAAGATATCAAAGATCCTAAGGCACAAGAAGAGTCTTACGCGACCAGCATCTCCCGGGCCAAGAAGGTCATAGAGTTTTGACCCTGGCCAGCGCGGCAGTGAAGCAGCGAAGGAGTCTGTAAACGTCCTTAGCATCCCATTATAATATCGGGCCCATTGTTTTCATTTGAAAAGATTGAAAATCAGTGTGTTTTCATTGGAAGTTACGGTTGGAAGAAATAGAGGCGATACGGGCTGATACTTGTACTGATTTTTCTGCTACCCAGTGCCTGGGCTCGAAAAGCCCACAATCTCTCCAAAGATACGTTATAAGAAAGCAGACATATTAGACATCATCGACTGACGAGGAATGCCAGGGAACGAAATGCATTCAATGTGTTCACTTAAACCATGGGATAGGATAAAGAGAAAAGTTTGCTGATTCGTGAGATGATTGGATCATATTGCATCTCTATATTCAAGTGCAGAGAGCGAAAATTCGTGGCTGCAAGGAAGACCAGTCCATGGGTATCCATGATATCCATGGCTTCCAAGGTTTGCGTTGAAAAGAAATTCAAAGCTGACCTTTGATGTGCTCATCCACAAGGCGGGCTGAAAACCTAGATATCTCCGACTCAAAATCCAAGGAATGCAAAGATACTCAAAGTCCATATGCACCATGATAATCCATGATACACCATTGCAATATACTGCAATCCATTATGCACCTTGCCTGCCGCTTGCAAGCCAAAAAGTGACGCGAAGTGTGACATTGAAAATGTCCAAACGCGGTATGACAGAGGACGACCTGCAACTTGTTGGCCAAGTAATGCCAAGTATATTTAATGTATTTGTTGCGTTTGACTGGAGACTGCTCTGATTGGTGTCAGGTGGATGGCGCCAAGTTCTACTCTGAAGACCGCAGCCTGGACTGCATTGATGTACGGATCTAGCGCATCATTTTTTGTGTTGGCCACACTACCCAAATTCCAGGCGGTTCAGGGTTTCAAGATGTTTGAAAAGTGTTAAAATCCTTTTGTTCAAATAAGGTGAGAAATCGAGTCTGAAAATAAGTCGTTCATTTGGAATGTCATGGCAACTTGAAATTGACGGTTCTGCAAGATTGCTGGCTCTTTAGATTGAAAAAGATAGCTGTAGCCAGCACAATGGTTTACAAATGGCAAGGGACAGCAGTAGCTAAACATGATTTTTTTCTGAAGTCCAAAATCATCAATGTGGGATGAATGTGTTGCTTCTTTGCTTCAAATCGGGAAGCTCTCATGCCCTTGCTGTGCTTTTGCTGCCTGCAGGCAAAGTGGAATGTCAAACCATCATCCACGACAAGCTCACTGAAGAACTTGCCGACAAGGTGTCTGGGGCAAGTCTGTTCTTGTGAACTTGAATGGTCCGTTTGCTTGCTTTGTTCTTCTGGCTAAGCCGAGAGGCCGAAAGAGTCTTAACAGACTTGACGCTCTGCTTTGAGCAAGTCCGATATCATACTGCTTTAGTTTTTGTTTGAACGAACACAGGACCCTGTCTAGTATACACGAATTGTACTATATAGTTGCACTTAGTGTCACGTGTGGTTCAGCTAGTTTGGAGCAGTTGCTGGCTCAATAGCACTGATGACCAGGTGCAGGAAAGATATAATTGTCAGGGGCAAAACGATCAGGATATGTTTGCAAAGTGCACAACACAACACAACTTAGAATTGTTTGAAACTCTTCTCAAGCTACAATTGGTAGTTTGGGTGACTCAGTAGCCGCCTCGCGATAAACAAGTTCTTGTATGTTCTTGTTTCTTTCCAAAGTTGGCGCTTTGCAGGTGCAGGAATGCTCCATCAACTTCCACTGCACCAGCATCTACGATCATTCCATCTTTGAGGTGCATTTTGACCTTCTGTGTTGATCAATGACTGGAAGGCTTCCTGTGTCCTGTGCCGAATGAAGATAATGAACAAGTGAAAGCGCATATAATTTCCAAAAGATAGTGCTCAGATGTGCTCAGTGGCCGCTGTTCCTTGAATCGTTTTCCGCGGAGGCGTTTAGCAAGATTGTTCAGAAGCTTATTCCAGAAAAGGTACTTCTGGAGTTCTCCCGACATAGGTTGCAGATTGTTGTTCTGCCTTTTGCCAATGTTTGATTTCTATCTTTGGCTTTCTAGTCCAAACCTAGCTTTGAATCAGAAACGTGTCTTGATGTTTTGAGCAATGCGTCATTGACATGTTGAACTGATTTTGCAATCTAAATCGCTCGATTCGTTTCTTGACCAAATGATCTCACTTTGATTCATTACTTTTCCATCACTTTGGCACGCCAAGAATTTGAACGTTGCTGTTGCCAGGCAATGCCTGCAGTCGCTCCTGGACAGTACCCGCATGGACGGGGAATCGGGAGAAGTCATGAGAAACATGTCGTGAAAGATATCGTGAAACATGTCGTGAAACATTGAAAAAAATCTTTTGTAAAGCTTTGTGTGACTTGCAGTTGAGGGTCATGGTCCAAGAGTCCAAGAGAGACCTACAATCACAAAAGCCGGAACCGCCACAATATGTGAATTTTTCATTTATAACCATTTGCCCATGCTTGTCCCATGGTGACAACTGGACTTTGGACAACGTCAGAGACACGGATCAAGAGAGGATGAAACATGATAAAACATGCTGTAACTGTATCATGCTGTCAAGTTTAAAGAGTTTGTCTGCGTCCTGCCAAGTCAGCACTGTTCCGATTCACGATGTCTAGAACCATCATGAAGCATATCTCAAATCTGTGAGAATCTCAAATCAGCGCCGGGTGAAGGAGAAAGTTTATTTGTTCGATGTGGTGTCCAAGGCGGGCTACAGCTGCACTTGGTTGACGACACATTCGTCAACGCAACAGAAACTCCCTGTTGCGGATGGAGAGTGTTCCATAATTGCGGTGAGATGCGGTGAGAATATCCCGGTTGGTAGTATTTCTGTGAGACCCAATATTGTGCTCGACATTCTGCAGCAATGTGAAAACGCTTGGACACTCGTTTGTATATATCTTCAGGGTGCTGAGTGCTGAGGACATTGTTTTGGAGCCATGGTGTATTGCCCCGAAGGTTTTGGCTTTTCAATTGGTGATAACTGACCCTTTCTTCTTTTTCTTCTTCTTCTTCTTCTTCTTCTTTTTCTTCTTCTTCAGACCTGTCACCTGATTCAGCGATCAGTTCCACGCCTTTTGCTGGCATTTATAGACGGTCGACCATATGAATACATATTCATATATATATATAAATATACACTACAATTAGGGAAGATGTTCTCCTTGGTGGACTTCTTGACAACTTAATCGTATGATATGTTCTCTCCCCTCCAATATGCAGCATTCAACACTTTCCGTGCACATCCTGTGACTTTCCGCAGTTGTACTTGGCATCCGATCGACAGCCAGTAGATCTCCAGTGGTATGAGCTTTGCACCTTGGACTGCGATATGGATCACTTTGAGGAGTTAGCAAGTTGAGATGTTGGATCATTGAACACATACCTGTGAGACCTGTTATACCTTGCATCCTGTATACCTGCAATCCTGCAATGACGTCGATCATACAAGTATTTTATAGTATTTTGTGGACTGGGATACCGACGGTTTTGGCTTGCAAAAGGTGCAGACATGGTCGACTTGGTCATCGACATTGCCTGCATCTATGGCAATGGATCGAGACTTATTTCTTGAAATTTGTCAAATTTGTCACCTTTTTTTAGCGGATTCCAAGCAAACTACAGCAGGCTCTTCACATATGACATGTTGAAGGCTGCTTCAAATCTTCTATTCTGGTGGTTGAGATGAATGCCAGAATGAATGTCTGTGTATCATTGCAAAGTAACGCCATTCTTTTTCAATTGAGGCCTGGAGGAAAACAAAGATGCAGCTTGTGAGTTCTACTTGCAGAATGGCTTCGTGCTGATCCTCAAAGAGGCTGTGCTTTGCAAGCTGAAATCCTGATCAATCTTAATTTGATGGTTCATGCTCATTCAGACGCTTCGTGGTTGGGCATGAATCACCGACTTCGCCCGATCTCCCACTCCTTACAAAACATAAGCCACTAGCATGTTCAATCAGTGGATTCAGCCATCGTGCACCCTTGCTGGTAGCAACCTGCCGGGCACATCCGCAATTTGCAAAATGTTGTGCCAAGATGTGCCAAGATGTGCCAAGATGTGCCAACATGTGCCAAGTAAACTTTCAAATAAAACGAAGAAAAGCATCATAGAGCGTTGCTATGGACTTGACATGACTTGACGACACGTACTGCATCACAATCATCACAGGTAGGCCATTGCTTGGCAATTGTCTGTGTTTTCAAAAGTGTGCTCCTCAGTGAACAGCTTTGAAAATCTTCGAAAAGCATGCAGACGCGCACCCAAAATTTCACCGATGGTGCACTGGGTACATTTGTTGCTTCTGACCAGTGGGTCTTCCGCAGTCATCATAAGTCAGCTTGCAATATCTTGCAATAAAGCTTGCAATAAATCCTGGAGGTCCTCCCAAAAAACAACATGATACTGTTAATTGATAATGAGACAGTAATTCAATGACAATAATGATGATGATGATGATGATGATGATCATCATCATCATCATCACCATCATCATCACCACAATCATCATCATCATCATCATGTTCATCTTCAAACGATCAACTTCGGTGATGCTGATTGCCTGTGTGTGCAAGCACAGGACGCATTTGTTGCTAGAGCTGTTTCGACACTACGAGCGAGAAATCCATAGAAATCCGATGTCTTTTTTGATGTGTAACCTTGTTGTGTTATGTTGTGTTTATTCATCTTCATATTCTTCATTCAAATGCGCTTCATGGACTCGGCTTCGAGGTGATGATAACTTTGACAAACAGGAGCTCTTGGATCACAACATCGAAGTCTTTAAGGAGGCCACAGCGGCCACAGTTTCAGATTCAGTGGACTGTCTCCATCTGTATTTTTCAGCTTTACGGGTGCCTTTGAGTTGGTCGCTGCGGGATGGCGCCTTTGGGCAGTTTTTTGGGCAGTGATTTCACGGTATGTGTCGGATGTGTTTTGATGGAAAGCTTGTTTCAGAGCAGCGGGAGTCGAAAGGTGGCCTGCTGGAATGCGAAGGAGAATCTTTCTGCATTTTCACTTTCAATAGAGAGGTGTACTGTAGTCTATGATTGAAGCAGAGGTGTGAGATCGCTGTCCTCGTTGGTCGTTGCTAGCTGTTCAAAAAGTCTGAAAATAAAACACCAGACCTGAAGAGACCCGTTGAGGCTTTGGGCAGAATTTGCCAACAGCGGCAGCAGCCTCAGCCGGCTTGACAACAGATTCTTATGGTCTAAGTGGTATTGCTTTAAGAGTTTTTTCCTATGTTTTCCTGCATTTTCTGGTTGGGATTTTTCGAGCAGTTTTTTCAATCAGATACTTGCAAGCAAAATGGAGGCTGATGGCAATCCAAATCTTGCCCTCCAGTTCTTGACTTCTGTGATCACTTTGGGGATTGTGTTTTTCTGTGTTCTTGGTGCGTTCTTGGGGTAGAGCAACTAGATATTTATAAATTTATAACTTGTAATTCATATAATAATTTAAGATAATTTAAGACAATATAAGGGTCAAAAAGCGTGAGCAAAAGACGATCAATCGGATTTGCATCGAGCTGACATTGCAAGCACAGGTACTTGCCGAAGTGAAGCCTTCCGAAGCGCTTGGACTCCACGACTGCATCCTTTGCCTGAGCATCATGGCGCACCTGGTACAGAATCGAGGAATACGTCCCAAATCAGATAACAGCATTGCAGTAGCGCCCTTTCCATTCCCTTTCCTTTTTTCACTAGCCAGAAACTTCAGTTTGGGTAGCCTGGATCGCAACCGCCCCAACCGGACCAAACTTGTTGTCGCTTGATATTATATATGATATTAATGTATAATTACATAGTTAATCAAGTTTGGGCAGAATATATTATGTGTATTTTATATATACCCCGGAGTAATTATATAGCTATGTACACAAATTACATTTTCTACAGAGCAGTGGGTCTAAGATTTTCTGAGTCAATGGATAGGTCGCTATGTCACTCAGTGCAGGGAAGACTCGCAGTGCACAGTAGTTGCAAAGATCAAATGCGTGCATTACCGCACAGAGGAGCAGGCGCGGCTTCATTGTGCGCAAAACAAAAAGGGAATAGCAGCTCCTTGGATGTTGGGTGCACCGTGGAACCTCCTGGATTTCCATCATGTTGCATCATGTTCCATCATGGAACATCTCCTGTGCGTTCCAGAATTGGTAAATTACTCTAAAGGAAACATCAAGACATGTACGATAGGTTCAATAGCTCTTGCAGCGCCACATAGTGCCACATAGTGCCACCTACATAACTGCTCGCTGTGTTGATTCTTCTTACCCGTACTGTAGCATTCGTACGTTCGGATTATCTCCAACCAAGCAAACACTGTTTGACCCTAGCTGCACTCGGGTCTTGTAACTCCGCAAGATTCATTCTTGACCTCCTCTGTGATTTGACCGCCATATGTGCCATACCGCCTCCAACTCGTGCTCGAGATCAAGGCAATACCTGCAGCAGCAGCAGCAGCACAGCAATGCACAGCAATGCACAGCAAATCACAGCAATGCACAGAATCTCAAGGACACGTGAAAAGAGCCGGCGCAGCGGCGCAACATGGCACGGGCCGTCGCACGCCTTGCGGAACGGGCGGCTGCCAAGATCCAGGCACTGTTCATATCTGTTCATGTTGCGTGTTGCAAGGGCAACTTTGGACGGGACCACGACACCTCCCTGTGTTTGATTGTGTTTGTATGAATCGGATTGTTTTGGCTGGATTTATGTTTTTTGGGTTGTCATGTGATGGCATGGATATCTCGTGGTTGCTATTGGTTGCTTGGGTTGCTTGTGACAAGCTGCTGTAAGGTTGCTGTGACCTGAGAATACCATAGGTCACTCTGTCACAAAATGCCCCACGGGCCATGTTGTACCATGTTGTACCTCTATGTCACTATGTGCTTGAGTTCTGTTCCGTTGCCAGGTGAAAGTGAAGTTGGCAAAGGAGAAAGCTCGAGAGAAGTTGCTCGGCGGTTGTTGGCTGTGTTCATATTGCAGCGTGGCCGCCATTTCCAAGAAGAGGATGGAAGAGACCATTCAAACAGAAGTGCCAGTACCTTGCCATACCATGCCCTTGTATGACTTTTGTATACTTTTGTAATGTCTATATTTTATACTATAATTATATAGAATATACTGTATCCTACTGTATCGTGACCTGCCTTCAAAGCCGACGAAGCCACGAAGTCAATTTTCTTTTGAATAATCAAGGATATGAATTTTATCATGCGTTTTGTAACTGAAGATGTATCGCGCCCAAGCTGCAAGCATAAGAACAGACACAGACAGACACAGACAATGACACAGACAATGGATGGGCTTTTCTATGGTTGTGGAAAGACCCAATATCGTTGAAGTCAGAAGAAATCCGTGCAGTACAGAATCAGAATATCTCCAGGAAATTACCTGCTCTGCTCTCAGGAAATGGAGGATGATGAAGATGACATGATTCCAGACTTGCAGACTGCAAACACCACTGTTTTCTAGGAGCAACCGTACTGCCAAGAGATTGCTGCTTGCAAACGTCGACGCGGCCGCTTGCGGAATGAGATCTTCGGCATCTACTAGTACGAACATCTACAAACATCTACGAACATCTACGAACATCTACGAACATCTACGAACATCTACGAACATCTACGAACATCTACGAACTACACCTCAAGTACCGAGTACCTGATTGACTCTTCCTATGGCACAGCCTGGACAGTTGAGCTAGCACCAGAGTGCTGCACAGGATGACTTGGACATGCGAGAAAACATTCCAGGCAGACTGGCAGGTTTCTATTTTCAGAAGGTGTCAGGATGTCGAGAATCAAAAAATATCGGTGAAGATTCGATGAATCGATGAAGCAGATACATTGCTCTACTGAGAATCCACTATGTCTTCGGGTGAGCTGTTGAGGGAACTGTATGGCATACGGAGAAGTTTCACAACAAGGTCACCAAAGGGTGATATTTTGTTTGCAACGAAGCAGCGCATCAAAGGAAGGGAAGAGGTTTTTTGTGGGCTACTGAATTTAGTCGGTTGTAATGATTCTTCAAAGGTAGAGAATTTTGTTATAGGGTGGTCAATTGCTGAATACGGGCCTCATTGTAAGCTATCACCCGATCGTCATTTCATTCTCTAGTATCTCTAGGGGTCAAGCCGTGGTTCTGTTTGTCTTAAGAAAAGCAATATGTTTGTTTGTGTTTTTTTTGTGCTTTGCATTTGAATCAAGATAAATCAAGGGAAAGGCCAGTGGAACTGCTGGAGGACACAGCTCCTGGTCCCCTTCTGAACGCATCAAAAGCGCTTTCGCCGCGCTCCAGGCTGTGGGGACGCTAAGTGGAGCCAGATGTCATCGGAGAATCCACAGCATCCACATGGTCCACAGTTTGCAACCCCTCGCATTCATTGGCCTAAGGTTCTTATAATATCTTATAATATTGTATATTGATAGTGATGTATATTGTGTCTATTATATAATATATATATAGTATCTTACAACCGTACAAGTAGTAGTTCCACCTGTTCTTGAGCCATTGAATCCGCGCAGAGTTCCGTTGTTTTTGTGACAGATGTGACAGAATTGTGACAGAGTCTGAGTGTCCTGGCATTGTCCACGGGGAGTCCAAGGGGAGTCCATCCAAGTGGAGTCCAAGGTCACAAGCCTTTGCCGTTTCAGGGAGCTGGATGCGTCCATCAGTGACTACATGGAGGAGCGGAATGCGATCCTCAGTTTGTTGCTGTTGCGGTTTTGAGATCAAAACAGATCTTGAGAATTCTCGGGACATGACACCATATAGAGCGCATGGACCGGAGAGTCATTTCCTACGTCACACCATATACTTGAGCTGATCATTGCGATTTAAGAACGGTTCTGAAACTTTTATGGGCTGACTTCGTCTGATGTTTACAAATGTGACGGCGCATTACCAGACGTGAATTTGGCGAGCACAGAGGCAGTTCTGAGACCGGCTTGCCTCTTGGTGCAGAATCTGCTTCCAGACTATGAGGCAATATCTTGATTAGGTGTTTTTTTCATGTTGCGTTTCCGCATTCTGTTTGCTTGAAGCTATGTCGCGTGCATGTGATGTGTTGCAACAGAAAGTTGATCTTGACATTTTGCGTTTGTGCGTTTGGAATGCACCATCCAGCTTGCAATGTCACCTCACTAAGCTCCTCCCACTCTATTCAGTTTATAATAGAGGTGGGAACATCCATTCAGAATGGCGGTGGACGAGCTGGGCTGTGAAAACTGTTTGGAAAGAAGAGTATACAACCACACTACAGTAAAGTACAAGGTGTAGGTGCGTGCATCCTAATTAATTGAAATATTATCATATACTGTACTACTGTATGTTATTATGTGTCTTGCATGTATTTTTTCTATATCGATACAAGTCGATATATTATCATATCATGTTCTGATATGTATGTTTCATACATCATGTTCTGTTTACATTATTATGCTGATTTATACTGTATATTCTCATATTTAGATTTCAGGATTTTATGTGTTTCCATCAGCTTGCACAGTCTGGTGGCTGCCACATCGGTAGGTGGTGATCCAAAACAATGACAATGGACAGAGTGAAGAAGAGGCGGCCCTGCAATTGAAGACGGATTGAAGACATGCAAATGACGTTCACACCGCACATGTATCGCAGTCCTGCACTTGCTAACCCTGCTGTTGATTTGGGGTGAGACTAGGTGGACGGTTGCTTCTTTGCATCATCTTGCATCGAGTCGCCGCTGCAGGGAGGTATTGCTCCATTCGTGGCCCAGAGCATGGAGTTGATACAGGCTCAGTCTTGGCAAAGCTTACAAGACAGTGATGCGAATTGTGTGAATGAGAGGAAGATGGGCAAAGATCAGAAAGTCAAAATGAAAGGAAGTTGCTTGCTTGAAGTCACAGTCATGCATAGCTTTGAGGCGTCGCATAGAAGTCACAATGACCATGCCACAGCCTGCCGTTGCCGGTCGTGGCCCTCCATTCTCAGCTCGTTTGACTGTCGCAGGTCATGGCCAGCAGACCAAGACTGAAATCTCTCCTGAAGAATCGGGTGAAAAATCTGATACAGGCATGGAATGGTATGGGCCAGACTGCTCTGATCAACAATTCTCTTTTGACACGTTTTGAGACGACCACACAGACAATATTAATATAACATAATATAACCCATGACCACGGTTTGGGATTTTCACCGGCTCATCTATTTCCGTATTATATAGATATTATATAGATATATAGATATATATATATACTTTGGCAGATAGCATAGACGCATATCGTATGATGTTCTCTCTCATATATTATCATGTAATGTGTATAGTAGAGTAGAGTACAGTACAGTATAGTATAGTATTAGTATAGTATAGTACAGTACAGTATTAGTATAGTATAGTATAGTGTAGTGTATATAGTGTAGTGTACTATAGTGTAGGATATACACAAGATTTTTGTATATACACGAAATATTATGTATATATATGTATATATAATTATATATATATAATTACTTTGTATATATATATATATATATATGTGTGTGTACATATTTAAATATAGTAGACATCGCGGTCTCCTGACGTGATTCCTGATTCGTTGCGCTCAGCTTTTCGCACCGTTCATGCGGATCACGGAGGCCCAGGCGCGATATCTCACGTCCCAAGAAACTCCATAAAATAAAACGAAAAGAACGGGGAAAAAAACATAGCACAGGCCCATTGCATTCTTTGTCATGAATTCAGGTCTTATCGGCCAAGTCTTACAATGTACAATGGCTTTTCGATGGAGCCCTTTTTCAAGTTTTACCGAATTTGTTTGCATTGTTTTGAGCCAAAACATGTCCACATTATCAGCATTGCAAGGCAGCGGCTTGGCGAAGTGATCCGAACGAATATTTGCAGCAGGCTTGTTGGGAGGAGAAAGGGCCAGACATATTTTGTAAGATTTGGACTGCCAACATCGCAGAATGCATTTGGGGCCAGAGGTACATAGTTGAGGCATGTTGAGGCTCTATGATCTATGTGCTATGTGGACAACCTGTTGCGAGACCCCCTGCTTGTTCTTCCCCCAACCCTAAGTCTATGGGGGTTGTAGCTAGGCAAAAACTATGACATTGAATGGGTTGGATGTTGTAACTATAACATCAGAATGGTATGAACTTATGGAGCCGAGTGCATTGACCGACGACAGAATTGTGTTATGGAAAGGTTGACATTACATGGTCTCAAGACCGACAGTCTATACGAGAGTATTCAAGAGTCTAGAGTCTTCTTCACACTGCCTGTGATTCTTGGATGACTGCTACATTATCCTTGAACTGTTGTAGCCTCAAACCTTGGTAGAGTCAAAACCGAAAAAGAATATCCAAACATCCAAACACTCAAAGGTGCTCGGAAACAATGAAATCCTTCCTGCCATGCTGAACATCTCTTGCAAATGACCCCTCCATGCAGCTTGCATAGGAAGCTGGCATTTGGTTTGCTATACAGTCTTTTAGATCTAGACCTGGGGGTAGATTTCCGAACATGTACACAGATGGGGAAGCAAATGGTTGCAATCGATGCAGTCTTGTACTGTAAGACTCCTACTTGCAAGTTTTTCATATTGCATATTCATTTAGTGTATCAATGTATCTATGTCTATGTTTATCCGCAATCGGCAGCTGGCCATGCAGTATTTTGGGATAGCGTTTGCCCTGAGGAGGAGGACGACCACTTCAGGCAATGGAAGCGTTGGCGTTCATCTCACCTGTATAGTCTCATTGAGTTTGCATTTATATATCATTATATATGTATATTATATGTTTATATTATAATGGTTCTAATTAGGACGTTTTATAGGTTTGGACTCGGATTGCCTTTTGCAATGTTGTGCTTGTGAAGTATGGTGACTGGGCTGCATGCTACAGGGGGTGCATGGTGCGCCTATCCGGAGAGGGCTTGCTCTCAGTGATGCTTGAGAGCTTCAAGTCTGGCACTCAAGCAGAGTTTACATGGTTGAAACCTCAATCAATCATCAAAATCGAAGGTCACCCGCCCATGTGTGACACATGTAGCCCCTATCAGTAGCACTCAGTGGTGGTGCAAGTAGAAGATGTTGATTTGGACATGGTTTGGTTGTTCAATTTATTTATATATTAACAAAAAAAACTACACTGGAAAAAGTTCTAAAGAGAAATAAAAAGAAACAAACATATATAAAGACATACTGTGAAATAAGAATAAAGTTATAATGAATTTATTTGATTCTATTCAATCTGTTCAGACTCTGGCTCAGCAAATCTGATTTGTTACCTTTCCGCTGGCCCCGCGGTGCCAAACATCTGACAACACAAGATTCTGAGATCCAAAAGCTACCAAAACACAAAAAGACAAAGTTTTTCTCACAGCACATCACTCCAAAAAAGCTCTGCAAGTTTGCAGCTTGCTGGTGTTTGTTTTTCAATTGTTGTTTACGTGTTTTTGATTTATTGTCATGGTGGTGTTCTTTTTTTGATGTGTTTTGCAGCATGGTTTCTTCTTTTTTCCAACGCAGCCCACCGTCCAGAAACCGGAGGAAGAACATACAAAAAAACATGGTTTGACTTGTCTTGAGGTACTTTTTGTTTTTGTTAATTGTTGTTTTTTGGCAGTTTCTTCCCCCCTTGTTGGTATGTGTTTATTGTGTTGTTTTGCCCGGATCATTTTTTCATATGGTTCATTTCCTTTCATTCTTTTCAGTTTTTTTTCATTGTGTTTCATTGAAGAAACCATTGCCAATCTAGACCACTGACATGTTATACTACCACTTAGTCTTGCTGACTCTAAGAATAAAATGAATCAAACCTTACTAGGGTGAGGAATTGTCAACCCTGCATCAACACCTTATTAAGCCGTCTATTGTTGGGAGGGTACCTTTTACCCGGGCACTGAGTACCCTTAGATTTCAGTGTATCAAGACTGAAATTTGCGGAGGTGAAAGCAGCTCCTAATATGTTTCCCTGAGGCAGACTGAAAAGGCACTTCTCCAAAACTGCCTCAACCAGAATTGACTATATAACAAAGCTTGGATCAGGTTTTTTCAGCACAGCATTGTCACATTGAACTTGACATTCTGGTTTTTGACAGGAGAGAAGCTTCACGTTCTTTAGCCAACGTGGTGGAGAACGTGTTCCTCCCTGAGATGTGCAGTTCAGTTGATTTCTCATACTGGTGCCCTTACTGTAGTGCTACAGTCAAATGGTTTAGTCGCATCGATATATGTGAAATGTATCTGTCTCTGTTTCCTTGCAGTATCTGAGTATCTCTGGAATATGTTGAAAGTCAGATTGTTGACCATGTTCGATAAAAGATCAGCGCATGATGGATGCTGTCCTTTTAAAAAAAACACATGACAATGTTCCGATATGCCATTGTTTTATATTGTTTTACCATGTTTTACCCTTATTGAAAGCTTTGAGGTACCATATGAATCGAATAAAATAGCCAGTGGATAGAGCAGGAGCAGCATCGACTTTGACAATTGATCAGCAAAAAACACGCCATTTGTGTTTATTTCCTCTTGAGCTGTCTTGCGTTGCCTCCATAGCGCAGAGGATTCAAAAGGGAGAAGCTGGCCGTGCAGCAGGCACTTGTGTGGGTAGCCACTATGTTCCGTGGACTGGAATGTTTTTTCATGTTTTTTCACAGAGTCACAGAACTGCCATGGGGGGAAAGCCATCGCTGTAATCCATGAGCTCTCGCATTTTGCTCCAGAATTCCGCGAACATTTGTCATTTTGTCTATTTCTTCACTTCTTTGATGCCTGACACTCTGGCTTCCACTTCCGCCACAAACTATATTTATGAGGGGCGGTGGATGAAAGCATTCAAACACATGAAGATCATGAAGACTTCATATGATGACAATTGATGAAGTGGGTCTTTTTTGGTCTTTTGCCTATAATGTGTTGTGAGACAAAATCCACGCATGAAGGCGATGCCAATGCCTGGAAGTTGACGGAGGCCTGTTGTGTGGTGTGCGTTCACAAAATTTGAGCAGAAAGAGATGGGAGATGATAGGAGCATAGTATAGCATGCTTTCAGTCGTGTTCATGGAAACATAATGAAACGGATTGCCCTTTCATCTCCTTCAAGCGCACAGAATGTGCAAGTCCATAGACTGCCACTTTGTGGATCCTCAGCCTGCACCAGAGATGATTTAGGTGATAGATTTGATGTACTTTGATGTACTTTGTGCATGTGTCTTTGTGATAGCCTGCACAGTTCCTTTCACCACAGTCCTGGTATGTGGGAACATATCAGATTATGAAGCCATATGAAATCCGATATTATATATATATACAATATATACAGTATATATAGTCTAGTTTAGAAAGGCCTGACGGAGCCGAATTGCCTCCGAAGTCTCCTCCAGCTCTGAAGAACGTTTCCCAATGCTTGCAGCTCGGGCTCCTCATCTTCAGCATTGCTGCAGCAGAGGCACAATGGCTCCTTCTGGTGATGAGATTTTTGAGTTATCGGCTGTTGCAAAGTGGATCACGCATGGTCACACAGTGTACCAGAATCTGGCAGGCCAGTGTGAAATCTTTGCAGCGCAGTGAGCTTGGACCGTTGGTTCCATGGCGGAGTTTTGAAACCGCGCACTGGAAATTGAGACGATGTCAACCCAAGACATCCGCATCCACAGACTTCAAAGAAACCCGGCATGGATCGGCTTGGTTCTTGTTTCAGCTGAGTAGCGGAAAGTCATGACACGTTTTGGACTTTGGACCCACCTCTATTTGTAAGACAATGATGGGTTCAACATCTTGCAGCTTTCAACAGTCCTTTCTCTATCCTTTTTTGGCACAGCAAGTCCCCGCTTCTGCCATCTCCAGATTTTTGGATATTCATGATGATTAACGTGTCTGCAGCCACAAAGCTGCATTCGGTTTTACATAAGAGGCTCATGATATTGACAGTAGCCAGAACCATCAAAAAAACAATCAATAATGTTTTAACATGTTTTATATAAGATTTAGACTCTTTGTTTGTCCTGAACTTTGGTATGAGGTTCCCATCAGGAGAGTGGACACCGCGTGTCAAAAATGTCAAAACTTGTTTGAATTTGACAGGGTTTGACAGGCACAGCGTTTCACTTTTTACACGAAGGCCAATTCAAGGCCAGCAAGTTCTTTCATATTGGCCAGACAATTGGTTGGAAGCTATGCTCAATATGTAAGACACTGTAAGAGACTGTAAGAACGTGTGTTTGGAAGCAGTGATTTTGAAGGGGTTGAGCCAGATCAAGCCTGGAGCGGGCTGTGTTTGACACAGCCATAGCACATTCTGAAAACATACATACATACATACATTCATACATACATACATACATATATATATTCCTATCCTATCATCAAAGATGCGTCATTCCAAGCCATGATCGGAATCCTGCGAGTGAGAGCTGCCCTCCAACTGCGAGCTTGGCACTCGGCTGGCACTTGCGCAGGCCAGGGCTGCGGAGAATCTCTGAGAATCACCTGATGACTGGTGGATCTTGTGGACTAGGATTTACAAGAAAATACAATCACTTGACTGCTGGTATTGACAGCTGATATCCATATCTCCCAAGTACTCTGAATTTCCATCTTAGTGACCTTAGTGCTTTCAGGCTTAGAATCTTAGATCAGAAAAGTGATTGCTGCAATTTCTATGATACTAGTATTGTATGATGTTCATTGATGTTCATAGATTGCTAAACTTGGATATGCTTCGCACGAAGCATCCTCTCCGTGCCGGTCCTTACAGGTCTACAGTGGCGGAAGGCCCTTCGAATTTCCTTTGCTAGTTGCGTCTTAGAAGGCGAAGATGCAAAGGTGATCTCAATTTGCTCAAAAAGATGCTTGCAAGAGTTCAATTCGCAGTGAGGCCTTTCCCATCCTGTTCCGATGGCATGGCATGAAAGGTATACTGTCAGTATACTGTGGGATGATCGCACTTTTGCACTAGGCCTCTAACGTTGGGGCAGATGGTGATGGTCGCTCGCTGGTATTGCCTTTGGCGCTCTTCGCCGGTGGGCTGAGACTCGGGGTGACAACAATTCCCACTTAGTAGTCTACATCACATGAGAGACTTATGGCATGGTGTCACATGGTTTGTTTATGGCAGATGTCGATGCTTAATCCGGATCAACTCGAATGTTTTTGAGGCAGACGATCGGCCGGATGGATAGCGGGTGGAAGCACACATCAAGAGTGTTAGTTGAAATGAAGGTGATTCCAAATGATGTGTGCATTTATTTTAGGATTCTTGCGTTATCTTGTTGCATTGCTGTTGCTAGTTCTCTCCCTTCCTGGCATAGTTCCCATGCAGTGGACGCACTGTTCTCGTTGTTTCCCTGTGTGCAGGAACTGGAGCTGCTGCCGGATATGTGCTTTATTTAGAGCATCTCGATGAGAGCAAGGTGCATATCCGGATATGGTGCCACAGCGCCACATCCTTTAGATTGAACCGTTTGAACATGAAGACTGATATCACATGATATCACTAACACGTTTTTCAAGGAATCTGATTCAGACTGGTTTGCGTCTAATTAGCAGCCTTCTTACCACTTTTATGGTCAGAATTATGTTTCAGAAATCATCCCTCAAAATCCATTGACTCGTCAATTTATTTGGTTGATTTGGGGTGTCTGTATGTGATGTATGTGTATGATTATTAATATATTATTTTATATCGATACGATTTCAGCAGCATTGAACCGATGGGATATCGGACCCGCTTTGACCTTTCAACACTTAGCAGGTCCGAGGGCCGGCCCTCTTCCCCGAGGAGGTTTCAAGCCGCTGGGCTGGAATATTTAGAATCCATATTAGCCTCACATCGCAGTGAAAGGATCCAAAGCAAATCCTGTATATATAATGTTTTCATACTCCACAGAGCTCAAAAGATAAGCATTCTGAACAGGACTGAGGGCGCAGAAGTATTTAAGAAGTGCTGGCAGCTCTGGCAACAATGGCATACAATGGCACTGAGAGCAATACCAAAGCACGCCGAATAAGTTCAAGAGGAGTGATGTGATGCGAGATGCATTTCGACGATGACAAGTCTTGGTTTGTTCCCAGAGAGAGGTCCTTAAATCTGTGAATTGTTGAGTAATTAATGTTTCCTTGCCGTTCCAAGATAGCCCTGTAAGTATAGAGCAGCGCAGAATTTGAAGAGAATATCAGGTGTGAACCCGCGGACGGTCTCGGGGCTTTAGGCTCGCTTCGGGCAACGAACACCCTTTCTATCCTTTTCTGACTAAGGTCCAGACAATCCGCGGGTTTGGTTTGATGTCTCTGTGAATCACCGACAAGTTGGGCGAGTCGAGTGCGAACTGTTCCCTATCTGAACTTCTTTGCGATAGTTTGTCAAACAGACGTGGTTGCTCGACATGCTTTGTCAAACGCTTCTCCGAATCGCAAAGAATGATCTTGACTGCAAATCTGCGAACGTGGGCCAATTCCCCAACTCCGTTGCGCATTTTGCCTTCAAACCCAGGTTTAAACAGATATGCCCAAAAACCGTGGAGAACTTCCGCTGTCTTTGCACTGGAGAGTCCTTGGACACAAACTATGGTAAATTTGATTCGCTCTTTGCTTGTTTCTCGCTTGGCATTTCAAATGAAAAGTATGTAAATAACGATTGTAAATTCTAGCCACTGGCCAAGGGGCCATGAACAAATAAAGAAGAGAAAGATAGGGAAAGGGCATTCCTGCCAACAAAGGCATGCAGCACATGTGGGTGAATTTGATTGCTTGTTGTTCAAATAATGTATTGTACGTGCTTATTTAGTATATTTTATTATTGTTCTTTCTATATTGATATTGTACGGTAAACATTGCTCATGCGTGGTCACTCATAGAGCATGTCATCCGGCTAGAGCATCCCTTGCAAGGAAAGGCATTGGAAAGTTGGGCAGGCCACTGCACTACAAGGAGTGTGACTTGGCATGGGAAAGATAGTATAAAATCGATATATTTGAAGGCTGAAGAGATAGTTACGAACAAAATGTACTACAAAAGCTTCTCACCTCTACTAAGGGCATTATTTTGCTGCTTGCTTTGACATGTTTCTCAGAGTCGATCACTTCCGTTTCAGTTTTGGAGCAAATTGAAGCAGGACTTTGCAGGAAATTTCAAGTGGATTGCTTCTTTTGGTTCTGGATTTTGTTTATTTTGTTTCAGCTTGAACTTGAAACAGCGGCACTTGGTCAGGTCAAATGCATACACTGAACAGTGGCCATGATGAGACGCTGTAGAAACAGAAACAACCGCCCAAACGAAAGCGGAGCATAGCGGAGCTATGATGTTTCGATGTTTCGATGTTTTGCATTCATTCGTGGCTTGCCCAGGTCCCATTCACCGGATTATGCCAGGCCTAATTTGCCACTTGGTCGCTTTCATAGTTCAGCTATCATGCTTAATCACAGTTGAATTATATTTGAAAAAGCTCAGATGCTGCTTACAACCCGAAAAAGTCGTGTGGTACCAAAAGGGCACAAATTGCATGTTTTCTTTCTAGAAGCCCAGCTGTTGTCGCATGTCAATCTAAACGTGCCTTCACTGAGACTAATGTCACCAGAATTCCGAAATCCTCCTAACTTTTCACTGGTCCGAATCGTGCCAGAAGTATCTATGAGTGCAACACGGTCAACGCTTGCTGCAAAACAAATTGATATGTAGAGAAAAGAAACTCAAACAGCAAAAATAGAAATAGGTCATAGATGGTCAATATAGGATGGAATAGATGTGAATAGATGACTTATGGATACTTATGGCATAAATATCATAAATGGACTCTTATGGTGACTTGCAATTGAGGCCAAGGAGGCGACTTCGTAAATGGCAATGGCTCTGGTGGTGAGACCTGGCGTCAAAAGACCTGTGTCCAAATTGAAACCATATGCCCTCACGTGCCAACAATTGCCCTCATATGCCAGCTGGGTAAACATTCTTGATTTTGATGTCTGAGAGCCCCAGGAAAGCATCTATGGCACTGCCTTTGCAGATGAGTTTGAGAGAGGGGTGCAGCTTGGGATGTCGAAATCAGAGTTGATGGATGTTGATTGTCAACTTAGAAAAGGAGTCTAACTGGACATTGGAGACACGTGGAGACACCATGCTGATATATCCGGATACTTGAAGCATCTTGAAGCATCTTGAAGCATCTTGAAGCCACAAGCCCGGCATCAACTCCAGAAGTCTAGCAGGCGTACTCTTCAGTCGCTTGTGTGATCGAAAGGACGGGATGGGATAGGTGAAGTTTTAATAAGTTTTAGGTGAAGTAAGATTTAAGATGATTTAAGATGATTTAAGTAAGATATTGTTCGGGTTTTGTTCATTTCAAAAGTGTACGTTTCACGAGCGCCAGGTAGTTCTTCACTCCAAGCCAATGCTGCTATCCATGGCCAATACTGGACCCGACACAAATGGCTCGCAGTTTTTCATTACGCTCCTGGGCAACAAGGCAAATATAGGCAAACAATGGCAAACATCGAAAACATCTAAATCCAACGGAAGCGAAGGACGAAGTTTCAGTACAAGTTGAGGTGTGAAATTCATGCAGAAACCTTTGTACAAAGTCTCTGAACATGTATCCAATGAATTACTGCAAAATCTACACAGGAAATTTCAGGAAAGTAGAAGGCACCTTCGGTGAGGTTCCGCCAGAATTGCTCGGACACATGAAATGACCTCCAACAATCCTCCAATCATAAGACACTGATCTGAAAGGTGCAGTGATTTCGCTAATGGAGACTGTCACTGGAGGGTGCTAGAAGAATTTTGAAAAAACACAGCTGAGGAATGCGAAAATGCATCATTTGGATGAAAAACACGTGGTTTTCGGACAGGTTGTCGATGGAGAAGATGTGATTAGTTATGTGTCTTGGCAGCTGGACGAGGCATTTGCTTCACTTGAAACCTCTCACTGACAAGTGGCCTCAAATCAAGATGTAAAACATTAACCCATAGCCCATAGCTTGATCCAAAAATCTCATACTTCTCATACCGACACTTGGAAAGTAGCCAGAGTATGCCAGAGATTTCTACGTTTACTTCCATTGTTTGATCCTGTCTAGCCTAGCAGCGCTACTACATGCTACTACTAATTACTGCTATAGATTTCCACGAAAAGTCGACAGATACATCAAAAATCATCAAAATAAGCACTGCTCATGTATACTGTATACTGTATACGACTTTTTTTCTTGCTCATCTGAGTTACATCGTTTTGGCAAGCCAGATGGCTCCACCATTGCTACGGTCTTGATTACCAACTGTGGTGAGGTGCCGGAGGCAGGAACTGCATGGAACATCATGGAAGTAACTCTTCTCGAGATTCTCGAGCATAAGAATTGTGATAATTGTGTTTGTTGTTTGGGAATGTTTGGGGTTCGCAAAATGGGTGCAAAAAACGGATTGAACATGACTGATGCAAGATCAGATAGTTCAGGCAAAAACCTCAAGAAGCTGAGCAGATTCGCTGCAGAGCAATCCAACGCAGCAGGAGGCCTTTTGCAAGACCAAAACTTGCCTGTTGGATCTTGTTAGAGGATTGGAGCTCAACAAAGCGGCTTTGCTGTCTCCTGGTGCAAGAAGGAAATTGCTGGGCCTGGCACGTGATGACTTGTGCAAAGTACACCAAGCTGTATATAGGAGCTGGGCCGATTGGAAAAGGGTCGTGTGGTTAGCTTTGTGCAGACGTCAGTGCTCTTGGGCATGATTGGAGACAGCAACACGAGTCCAATTTCACGATTAGTTTGAGACCAGCTCAAGCAGATGTGATGTGATACTGTAGATGAACGCAGAGGAATGTAGATGCTTCATGATGCTTCACTGACAGAAAGCAAGCGACGAAGCACCAGCCGTGCCAGGTGCCGACGGCCCTGTCCCTTGCGGCAAAGCTCAGTGGCGACAAAGCAGCGCCAGAGGTGTCATCTGTAGTGGCATTGGCATTGGCATCTCGAGGATTTTGTACTTATTCAATCTTATTCACACTTTTGTAATCTTTTGTAGATCTTTCGTCATGTTTCATCATCTTTACTTTCTGCTTACTTTTCTTGTTCCGCATTCTTTGTTTTCGCACTTGCATGGAAGACTCATGTGCCCAAATCAAATTGACACACATTCTGACTGAGAGATGTGTTGGCTTGGTGGGTCTCAACTACAGTTTGGCATTCAATGGATTGACAAGACGTGAAAGTTCTACGATAGAACTATAAGATATACAAGTCTATAAGATTCTATAAGTATTTGCAACGTCATTCGTGACCTTTTTTTTGTCCTGAAGATAATAATGGCTTTGATTTTCTTTGCTCAGATTTCAAAATTGTCCCTGTTGGAGTTGTGTCTTGTTGCAGTTCCTCCGTGCACGGGCATTCTCCCTGCTACACCGACTGGGAGACACGGTCACAGCGTTAGCGCGACACCAAGCTCCTTCAAACATGAACAGATGACAAGGCTGGCAATATTCTACAAGATGAAGGATCCTTTCCAAAAATGTCTAATTATATAATATTATATATATACATATATATATATATATTCGTTTCCGAAATCAGAGTGATCCAGATGATCCAGGCATTCCAAGCTTCCTGTCAAGACCTGTCAAGCATCGGGAAATTCATGCCCTCCAAAATATCCAGAGCCTGGAGTTTTATGTCCTGAACACCTCATAGCGTGGCTTTTACATGCTTTTACCGTCTGTTTCGACATGAGACATCCCATTCGTGCATATAGTTTCATCATTTCTCATGCTGTGAAGAGTCTTGAAGATGTTAAGTTTATAGTTTATTCAAGATTATTTAAGAAATTTAAGAGTATGAGTCTTGAACTCGATGAGGATGACTATGACTGTCAGATACTGTCAGTACAGTACTCTTTAATTTGTGTCGCTCCGATGCTCAAAGGTCAAAAAAACACGGAGCAAAAACTCGGGTGTGGGGGTTCTATGGGGTTTCTATGGTGTTCTTGATGGTTCTTGTATCTTTTAGCATCCATGACGTGCACCACTGACTTGCTGTGACTTGCCGTGACTTGCTCAAAGTGGGGGCCACACCGAAGCCTCGGTGTGCGAACAACCCATGGCGTGTCGGTGGACCACCAAAGGTGGCATGGAAGCTCAGCGAACCCGGCGAACCCGGTTGCTACAGACTCAGATCTGTTCAGATATGTTCAGATTGTTCAGATTGTTCAGATATGTTCGGATAGATCAGCGTTTGCCTTTTGCGCCCAAAACTGTCATGGAAAGCAGGGGTTGTATGGGTTTGTTCACAGCTACGTTGCTATACCAAGAAGATCCAACAAGTAACTAAGTGGTGGAACCTAAAATTGAAGCGCATAGAAAATACATGCTGAATATTGCTGAATTATCTATTTGGATTGACGGATGTCAATGTAGGGCGTAGGGAGTTTAACTTGTTTGTAGGATGTGCAGGCGAAGGCCAAAGGAAATATGCAAAATTACGTTGCACCAAAATGGGTTCTCAGGGCGTTTGTCAATCTCTTGACTTCGTACTAGACATTTGCACATGAAAGGATGGCGATTTTGATGAATCGTCTTATTTGAATGTATAGGATAGATATGGATAGATGTGTCCAACAGTGTGAGATATCCGTGTGCATGTGTGCATTTGGATGCCTGTCATGGCAAAACAGACATGTAGATCGATTGGCTCAAGCAATGATGGCATGAATAGCGTAGGGCATGTAGGGCGAACAAGCATATTCTTCGTATTCTTGTTCCCAGATCATCCCAGATCCAGATACCTGGACAGAAATTTGTCTTCACGACTTCACACAGATTCGTGTCGTGTCCTTCACTTCAAAATGGACATGATGCCAAATTGTCTTAAAAGAGTCCGCAAAGTGAAAGGCTTAGACAGTGGGTGAATCATGCCAAATCATGCTATATATGGATGTATCATGATGTATCTACATCCAGGCAATTGAAGCATCCAGGTCTGAAGTCAGAAATGCTTTGATTTTCATTGCGACTTCTATGTCCTTGGCATTTGGGAGATGGCGATGGCGTCAATGGAGTTTCTTCGTGGCAATTGCTGCATTGGTTAAAGTGCCAGCATCGTGGCTGGAAATGGCTGGAACAGAAAAGTGTCGCTTCACCTGGGAAGGGTTCTTAAACTTCCCGCTTTTCGTAAAGTCCAGGTTTCTCTCGTTTCAAGTTTTTTAAGTTGAGACTGAAACGAGAATTGAGAGAATTGAGAAATATTGAGAAAGAGGACAAAACTCAAAGAGGCAGAGAGCTGCATGTTCGCAGGTCGCAGGCATTGCTGGCAAGCTGCCAAAAAGCTCAAAAATTATCCGATGTGTTAAAACACATATTTCAAGGATTTCTGATTTAAGGATATTTAGGGGGCTCACTGGTGATGCTTGTCCAGGTTTGGCTTTGTGGCGGAGCACTGCGTTCAAAGGCCGCTGTGGCTGTCGGGTAAAAGGATGGTGCTGAATGGTACTGAAGATCAATAACGGCGCCAGGCCACGAAAAGCCCGAAGAATAGAAAGCCACTGCTTTGATTTCGGTCTGGAGTGGCACAGAGGTCCCTTTGCTTCTTTATTGCGCACATGCTGTTACAAGCTGTGTAATTCCATTTTAGGATATAAACTGTTAGCAGAGGAAACTGCGTTGAATTTAGAGGTGTGTTTGCGGAAAGCAGGAATGGGGATTTTCAAAGACCGCGGATGTAAAGTCCATGCTTTCAAGAGAAACTGGTGCAAGAAGGACAAGAGGAGCGTCTTCATGCATTAACTAATTAGGTCTTGATCAAAATGCTCTGAGTCGTGCAAGTTGTGTGGGGACTAGCCCCTGCAACGTTCGTTATCTGTATATCAATATAATGTTTATATATAATTAATTATGATTATGTATCTATACAATATATGGTATGCTTTCTTCCTGTCCCCATGTTCACACTGTGGATTGCAGGTGTCGATCCAACCAGTGAGGGCGCAGTCGGACAGCACAGAGTGCGAGTCCTGGGGAAAGTGCAGTTGACACAGACAGTGGACTGCAGCTGGGGGACTGTTGTGGCATCTTAGGAATTTCAAACATGTTCGAAAGATTCAGACGTGCTGGGCCGGGCCAGGTTCTAGCCGATTTGGTGTAAAGACCAGCTAGGCTAAGTCATTTTGCGTACGATCTGATCGAAATGTATATAATATACTGTGGGATTAGTGAGGAAATAAAAGGAAATGATAGAGAAAGGGAAGGAGGAACTCGTATGCCCAATCTGAAGCGTTTGTTTGCAGAATAATGTAATTATTTGGATTTATTTACTTGTAAATCATAAAGAAGTTTTAAAGATGCATTTACATATGATGCACGTCTAAGATATTCTGTGTAACACGTTTTTAAGGTTTAAGCATGGCAGTCAGAGGCAGTCTGGAGATCCGTGGGAGCTATTGAAGTCACTGGAAGGCGCAGCTTTTGGGAGTGTAGTAGCCTGTTCACCAGTCTGCCTCCTTGCCAGATTGATGACCAATCAAATTACCACAAAAAATAATTTAAATGAACAAAAAGAAGTTGGCCGTATCGAAATGTCTTCACATGCCAAGAATGTGACTGCGACCATTCCTGGGAGAAGCTTCTTCATGCGTCTATAGTAGCACTACATACATGTAACTCACATTCTGAATTTCTCTTACATGTGTTTCTCTTTGCAGGCGATGTCCAGTGGCGGCAGGAAGAAGCTGCAAGGCTTTTGAGCCGTTCTGCCTTGGAGGTGTTGAGCCAATGGTTTAAGCCTGCAGGCACGCCATGGCACGCCTTATGCCATGGAGTATGTTGCTTTCTTGGATCCACAATCAGCTTGTTGGTCCTTTAGTATGTTGAGTCAGTGAACATGGAGAAATTGTAAGAAACCCTTTTTATTTTTTTTAACCTTTTAAGATCTTTTGAGTGGACACTGACGTGGTCAGACTGCGGCACAGAGGCCCTAGATTGTGCGTGGAGACCTCTGACAACGTTGACGAGGCTCTCGACGCTTTGCTGGAGGAGGCGAAGCCACATGTGGTGGACTTCCTCTCTGACCGGCAAGTGCCAGGCCGCAAGCCCCAAGCCGCCGCAAGCATCCGCAAGCAGCTGCAAGATCTATAAGTCTTGCAGTCCACAATGGTACACAATAATGAACAGAAAGTTTGCCTAGTCGAGATGTTTGAATAGATGTCAACATCGTGAACTCAGCGTACGGATGAGAAATCCTTGTGACTCGTTCCTAAATTGAACCCTCTCGTCTCTTTCTAGGCCAATTCTGAAGTAGCCTGAAATGAAAATAGTACTGTAGTCATCTGTAGTCTGTATGTGTGATGTCACTGAAGGCCTTGGATTTGAAACTCAGTGTGGGCGTAGGCGCATGCAGTTTGGAACTTGAATCACTTGCAACCCCTGCCGCTTCCTTCACTCCATCTTTGGCCTTTGCCAGCCGAAGTAGTAGCCTCTCAGTAGACCTACACCCCCCGTCCCCCCCTTCATCTTCAGTAAGACCTCGCTACGCGCCTAGTAAGCATTCAGCCCTATAGTAAGCACTCAAAACAGCCCCATCCCCACAGTAAGCCTTGGTGAATTTTTGATGTTTTCAGAGAAATTCAGGGTCAAGTCCAACGAAAACCATACTTATTGGTCCCCCCCAAAACAACGTCTTATTGCAAGCTTGCATTTTGAGCGTCCCCCCTCCTTAAAAGGGTGGTGATTATATATGTATATATATATATTTATAAATATATATTATATCTCTTTCTGGGGTGATTCTAATTATCATAACACATGATAAAACCAGATCCTAACCCATGATAAAAGCAGATCCTACAGTATCCCATGGTTCCCCAGATTCAAGGCCCCAATATCTTGGACGTCGGTCTACAAAATGATGAGTTTGGGAACAATTTTTATGAATTTGACATAACTTGACCTCAAATCACATACGAATGCAATGTTTCAAGCTTCCCAGCCCCTATCGAGCGCTTACTGAGTGCTTACTAAGAAAACGGGAAAGCCAAGAAAATCTACCAAGATTTGCGAAATAGGTGCATATTGTACTCTTACTGAGTGCTTACTAAGGACTTAGTACAGTAAGGCCTCAAAAGGGGGGAAGCCAAGAAAATCCACCAAAATCCAGCAAATGTTGAGGGCTCTTCGGAGTGTCACGCCACATGGAAAAACGTAAGTGACGCTTCATCTTTAGGTTTTCAAACTCGAATCATCCAACCACACAAAAAGAAACAATGAAGTGTGAAACCTCTTGACTGGAACGTTCGATATGGGAACATGCCTTGATTGGGGTATCTTTTGAACCCTCCAAACCTTTGAGTCGTAGTCATGGCGTGACTTTCTTGTCGAGATGCGGAAATCACAAATTCAATATGATCGTGGCAAAAAACCTCCTGCAAATCACTGCTCACTGCTCTCAGTAAGCTAAAAGCTGCATAAAACTCCCCTCTCTCAATAGGCTTGCTGAGAATGGCCAGGGGCGGGGGGTGTGGGGGGGTGAATGTGTCCATGAAGACAGTTTTTTGGAAGTATGATTTACATGTTCAGCAGTCCTTGGCGAAGAGTGACCCCCTGTCTCCTCACCGGTCACGCACAATCCGAGACAACACTCTATGTGACGAGGCGTTGTAAGCCGCATCTTTTGGCAAGCAGAACTTTATTTGCGCAACTTTCAGCAGGTGTGGCATTGGGATGCATGGCATGCATGGATATGGATACTATTTTGATATATTTTGATTTAGGGAATTATGGCCCCTCCTTTTTGCTCACTGGAAGCACATGTCTGCTGAAAAGAACAACCTCAATTGATTCGATTCACCTAAAAATTCTCTCCTGTACTGTACGGCCGACAGCTGGAGAGCCAATTCCACAGGTTGCTGGAGAAGCACCGGTGGAAGAATTTCAGCAAACAGCCAAGCTTGTTGAAGAGGAGGTGGCGCCGCAAGGGTCGCAGATGGAGGCAGGAGAAACACCGAGCAGAAATCTGAATGCTGAAATACGCTGAAATACGCTGAAATACGCTGAAATGTATCCCTGTGTACATTTCCACTATGAAATGGCTTGACCCATGTTCCATTCCAGGGGCATTTTTCTAAGAAAAGGAGGCATTTTGTAAGGACATTTTTCTGGTCAACCATGCCATTTTGTAAAAAGCGTGTTTTTTGCTGCCGAAGCTTCGGGGACTGGGCAAAAAGATTGTGGGGTTTCCTGGGGAAAGTTGGACATGTACAAGTAAGACATGGATCCAAACAAACCATTTTTTAAGACACAAGCTTATAAGATGATGGGGTTTGGGGCCTCGAAATTAACTTGGGGCAACCATTTTGTAAGGCGCCAATTTTTGTTTTTTTTGGGTTCACCGGTGTTTCCTGGGGAATCACACCAAGCCTCCTGCCCAACCCATTTTGTAAACCCCTAACCATGGATGTTTGTAAGGTTAACTCCTGGGTCCCTTACAAAATGGTTGCCTTGGGTTAGCCTGGTAAATGTGCAGGGGGATTGAAATGTAGTAATCTTGGGATTAAGAATGATTAAGAAGCGAACTTACCCAACATCATCCAACTGCCTGTAACTATCTGTAACTGACATCAACTTCGTTTTGACTTTTTGGGAGGCAGCTTTGGAGGCCGTTCTTGCCCGGCAGCAATTTGTGGCAGCATGTCGCTTTGGATACTTCCTTCGCCGTAGCCAGCAGCGGCTGCGCCTTGAGAGAATAATGAGTCTTGGACAAGCCAAGGGATTTTGGAGCTGTCACGTTTGGTCTAAGACTCTAAGACCAGTGGCTAGTGGAAGTGGTTTTCTTATGTGTTCTTATTCTTGCTGATCCAGCGGCCGACCTTCAGGACTTGCACTTGCACAGACATTTCCTGCACTTTGAGGAACCTTATCCTAAAGATATCTGACAGGACTCTGTATCGGACATTGTCACCAATTTTCTGATGGCTCACGGCCACGAAAGTTACAGAGCAAATTGCCTTTGGCAGCCTTCGCTGTTTCTCCAAGGACTGGTGCAAAGTCTTTGGAGCAGTCACTCAGCAAACATTGTTTCCACAAGTTTCTTGTCCTCCCTCCTGTCCTTTCTGGCATTCGCAGATAAGTATGCCTACGAAAAACATGCATGTGTGTGTGTGCGCGGTTGTGTGTGTGTATATGTGTGTGTGCATGGATGACTGGCTGGCTGGTTGGCTACGTGGGTGGATGCGTGGGAGTGAGTTGTCATCACGTTCCAACATGTTCCAACTGATGCTCGCATACTTCATTGCAATTATTGCCAGTTCTAAACATCTTTCAATTTACAGTTTGTTGGTATCTTTTGTGTATCTTTTGTCCACTGGCTGCTTGGTGAGGTACCTCACAGACATGAACGCCCAAGAGCAAGTGGAGCTGGTGCGGGGTGCAAGCCGCGAAGTAGTCTCTGCAGCAGAGGCGTTGACTCCTCAAGTTTGATCAGTTGAGATGCGAAGATTTGCGAAGTAGTTTCAGTGAATTTTCAGTGCTCAAACTGCTGTCGTTGTCTGTTCTGGTTTGCTGAATTCTAGAGTGAAAGTTGCATCCCATCGGTGCGGTCCTCGCTTCCAGGCACGTGCCACTGATCTCTTTGGAACGGTGACAGAACTGCTCCGTAAAAGCAGTGAGTTGGAGCTCTCGGCAGAGGGTCGAGTGAGGTGCTTTGGGCCGTCGATTGCAGTCGAGTTAAGACTCGTTGTGTTTGTCGGTAGTAATTTTGATTCCTTGTGCATGCTTTGCACACTGACAAACTGACATCAAAATGATCAAAACAACCGTCATTGATGCTTTGCACCTGGGACCATGCTCTACTTGCTGTCGGTATTCTTGCCTTTTGATGCCTTTCAGCATTGCCAAAGCATTGCTCTCTTCTTTGTTTTCCGTGTCCTTGATCATCTTGCGTGCTTCTTTCATAGTGTTTCCATTGTGTTTCCTAATTTTCCTATGTGCTTCTTTTATCTTCGTTTTTGGTCTGGAAGCTGCGGAGCTAGGCTCAGCGTGGAGGCTGTTGTCTTTGGAGCAGCCTTGTTTGATGCCGAGGTGGGCTGCTCATGGGTCAAATTTTAGCACAAGCAACGCACGAAGCGTTCGGGGAGTAGAGTGATTTCACGTCACAAGGATCCAAAAGGCACCAAGCACAATTGCAGGACATCAAGATAGTTCTACATCCATGATTTGTTCACCGTCAGGAGGAGGCATCAAAGCACTACTCGCTGACATTTTCTGACTTTGGCAGTCGGCATTGAAAAAGAGTGAGAAAACTGTGCGCGGAACGGACGACGTTTGAGACCATGACTGGCTTCAAGATGTCGCCACTGCATTTGAGTATGTAGTGGGGGAGAGAAGACTTGATGGGAAAACAATGTTACTGTATCTACTTACAAAGCAATCTCCGTCAGGTGACACCAGATCGTTGGCTGTCGCTACTGTAAGTGTTTCAATCTGAGGTATTCCTGTCGACCAGTGGACCAGAATTATCATGGTTACCATGAAGGATAGGTCCTCAACATTTATTTGCTCTTTCAACTCCTGTTGGGTTCTCAGACAATGTTTGAAATGGTTCTTATTGATTCTTATTGTATAATATGAATCATGTTGTTTCTGGATCTCTCAACAGTCCAAGATCTACTAAGATGATCTAAGATGCACTCATTGAAACTAATTCAGCCTTTGCAATGAAGGACAACGTTGTCGAACTTTGTGCGTCTCTAAATCTATCTCGTCCCATGTCGTTCCCCCTTTGTCAGCAACACATTGAAAGTGATGCGCGACAGCCGCAGTGAGGCCGCTGGCTCGCTGATGAGGGCGCTGTGTCTAAATCTTTGTCAGGCTCCGCTGCCAGAATTCAATACATTCTCCAGCATATTCCTGCATATTCCAGCATAGCAAGATAACTGCAGATACTGCAGATATTTAGCAAAAAAAACTGCAAAAATGTGTACTCTGATTCGACTATGATGGTATAACTCTGGCCTCCTGGACAAGGTCATGGACTTGAAACATCTCGAAACGATTTGTTCCAAGGCAGTGGTGCTGCTCCTGCTGCTCCGTGGAAACGTCTGGAAGCCTGACAGACAATTGGTTTCTGGCTTCTGAACATCTGCCAGGTCGTCCTACTAATCTATCCTAATCATTCCTAATCATTCCTAATCTACCCACACCTTGTTAGTCCTTGCTATGTTTGGCATTTGGAAGGATGAGATACTCAGTTGTTGCTTTGTCATGAAAATGGTTTGAGTTATCAACGACATGCAGAATAAAGTGCGGAGTTGCAGTCAAACATGGAAAATAATGAAAAGAAGGAGCATTCTTTAGAAAGTGTATCGTTTATCAGCAGAGTGCAGACGTGGTACGTAGTTTTTCATCCCATGAAATTCCAAGCCTCCTTCAGCTTAATCCGGGTGAATGTGAGCAGCAGTTTTCAGGCCATTTCAGAAGAAAACGAAGGCAACAGTTGCGTCGTTTGGGCCATGGACGTCGAGAATCTAACAATGTTAAACAAAGTCAACCTGATTGTTACTCTCCCATTTCAAGCCAGAGGTCGCGGCTGGAACGTCTCCATGTTGGTACTAAACTACGGATTCATATTATGGAGTCAATTCTTGCATGTTCTTGCTGGATCTTGGGAAGAGCATTTGCCAGGCAATTTGACTAATGTGTGGAAGCTCAAAGTTGCAATTTCCAAGGGGGAAGTTCTTTGCAGTTTGGATGCTTGTTGAGTTCCGCAATTTGTCTCTTCACAACTTGGAGGGGTTCGCTGGCATGCTGGATCAGCTGGATGACGGATGAGATGACCACTCGCTCCACTTGTATGTGACTCCCTCGTTTCCTCGAGACCCTCTTCCCCATGCCTTTGTCGTCTCTTTTAAGGTGACCACAACCACTCAGACAACGAGCACAACGTACTCTGTATGAGGCTCAGTCATTGAAATAGGGGACAACTTCCAAGTGGAAGGCCTCAGTCGCATTGGGTCATGCTAGAACTCGTCAAATTTGACATGAGAGGACATAAGTATCAAATGCCGAGAATACAGAGGTTTGATTTGAGGGAATCCATACGAGTCCGTGACGAGAAAAGTTCTGCAGAAGGGCCTCGGTCAGAGCAGGCAAATCACACGCCGCAAAGGGTGCAGAGCAACCCTTACTCCTGGAGACAAGAAGCAAACATGCGATATGGAAGTAGCCTTAAACGTCACAAGATGTCCAACCAAACCATGGCCGCCTGACTGAGACATGCTGTGTTCAATTGGTTTTCCTTACGTGCACTTTGTATCAATTTGCCCTCTAGACCCTCAAGTCTGCAAGCCAATTTGAGGAAAAAGATTCTTGAACCCGCAACACCGCGCAACACAGTTTAAGCAGAGGAAAGTTTCAAAGCAAGTGTGGGAAGATATGATGGTCTGTTTTGTCCTTTTCGATTACAGGGAGAAGGATAGGGAGCAACAGGACAGCATCCACAGGACCACAAAACTAAAGAATCACAGCAGCATGCATCAACAACCACAACAGCAACAACAGCAACGACGACGACGGCGACGATGACGACGACAAGGGCGACAACAACGGCAACAGCGACAACAACCTTGACAACACACCACAACAGCGACATATGCAACAGAAGCACCGATTTCAACACGTTTGAACAATAGCAGCGGGAGCCGCAGCAGCCACAGGGATAGTGCTGGCATGAAATGGCAAGAAATGGCAAGAATGCAAAATGCAAAAATGCAGCAGTTCAAACAAGACAAAAAAGGCTAACCGTCTAACCGGCTAACCGGACAACCTCAGACAATGAAGGCAACTTCAAAAAGAATCTCGCATCTTTGCTATGATTTGCTATGTGTCCTCCTCACAGCCAAGCGTGGACTGCTGAGGTAGGGACGAGGACAGGCACTTGAAAGTGCAATCACAAAAAGGCATGCACTAAGAGGAGTAGGGAGGAGTCATATGTCGAAAAGGAGAGACGGAACTTGATCAAAGAAAGGTCAGAAGAGGAGATAGCTCGTTGAGAATGCCATGTGCCTATGTCAATGTGTTAAAGAGGCTACTCTGCTTCTGGCCATCACATGACAAATCCTGCATGAAAAAAGTGCGGTTCATTGCTGTTCTTTGTCAGCAGGAAAATTTGTGTTGGGGATCTCTCAGCCTTTGTCCAGAGTTTCAAACTTGGACCGTACAGCAAGCGAGCTATAAGCGAGCTATAAGCGAGCTATAAGCGAGCTATGCACAGGACCTCAAGCAGTACAACATGTACATGGTTCGGATCCAAGTTCCAGATCCAACACGATTAAGATCGATCAAATCAGACAGAGATCTTAGTTGCTCCGGAGGAAAATTTTCCTTGTGCCCAATTGACAGTACACTAGGTATCGCTACATAGGTACGGTACATTTAAAGCTGTCGCTAGAAGATAGAATTTGATATGTCCAATTTCGATCCATTTGGCATTCCCTGACTTTTTCAACCGCAGCGTTTCCCTTTTGTGATGAAACGAGACAACTAGAATCGGCTTTGAAGGGAACAAGTATGCCTTTGGGTCGCGCAGACTTTGAAGCGCTTCCTTCGGCATCTTGGACATTGTAGGACCGTTTAATATGGGGTCAGACAGCTGTTTTGTATATCCCTGTAAAGTCCCTCCTTCAGACTTAGACTTTGGTAAGACTCCTCACCTGGACGTGAGGTCAACTTCAACTGAGACTGCCACCACACAGACTCACAGCCAGGAACCTAAAGAAGTCACATGTTCTAGAGATATCGTTGATTGAGAAAGGTCCATGTCTTCAAATGTATGTTGGTGCTGAAGTTGTTTTATCGCTGTAGGCTTTGCAACACCAGACCTTTATATGAGCAGACCTTTGGACTTGTTCTGTTTTGACTTCTGCAATCCCTGGTGACCCGAATGGCAGATAACTCTACAGCGGAACCTCGAAGTACTGAACCATGTCCCGACGGTCCTTGAACTTGACAAGAACGGACAAGAAGGTTGTTTATTTCTTGTCACATCTTGTCTCAAACTTCTCAAACCCGACTGCTTGGGGCTTAAGTACGAGTTGCAGTCCACAAGACCCAGGTACAATCTCAAGCACTTCTACTTCAACTACGACGGTCATGGCCATGGTTGCAATTTCTGTTCCTTAAGACCATACAAATCAAATTAAATCGTATCAAGTCATATCGAATCCATATATATATATACGTATAATATATATATATATACTACGTATATATAATATATGCCTGTCATCAGCGAACTGCGATCAATTCAGCAGCTGGGTCATGCTTCGGAAGCCTCTTCGATCACACTGAATCCTACTGCTACTAGCATGCAATGAATATCAATGAATGAAAGTGATTCCCTTCATTTCCTTTCAAACATCGTGAAACCAGTTCCAGCGGTTTACGCGACTGAGGTTCATCTAGTGACAATGTCTGGAAGGATTTTGGTGGATGTGCAGGGACTCTAGATTTTGGTGGAACCAACTGAGACGTTCCACCCGCATGACAGAGCAGCAACTCTGTTGTTCTTGAACCCGGAGTCAGATTGCACTGGAGATTTTGAATGATTTTGAGTTTGTGTTTTGTGCAAACTTTCATGTGCTTCTTCGGCCGCTTTGTTCGGTGCTGGCCTGAGACCAGAAGCTTTCCAGATGCAATTCAGGTCAGACCCCCAAGCCTTCTCAGACAGTGCAGAGGTGAGAAGCACCGCAAAGCATTTTGAGGGACGGAGTTTGCTGCCCCAAGATATGCAAACGTCGGCAAGAAGAGGATTCTTGAAGTCTGCCTCAGAAAGAAAATAAAGAGAGCGTAGCCCAGAGATGAAAAGCCATGACAAAACAGGATGTACGGGAATTAGCTCTATTTGCAACAAACAACAAAAACAAGTTGTTTTGTTGTTGGAGCGAGATGCATACTCGCTCTGTGAGGACTGCTGCTATCTACGGGACCAACAAAAAAAAACAGGGGAAGAACAAGAGCTAATGGCAAGTGAAGACAGTCATTGCAAAAGGATTTGAGCATATTTGAGCGTCCAGTTAGTCGATGCTACAGCACTAAGGGGATTTGTTTGCAGAGGTGGTTCTTTCTTGATTATTCGCAGCCGCTACGGTAGCCTCTTAGATGATCTTAGATGCATTTTGTAAATGTCCCAAAAAAAGTCTCGAAAACGATGAATGAAGGTATGTCGTACCTGATGATACGATGGAATTTCTAGCTGTGGCCACACAAACCTATGCCTGAACTCGTTGCC